TTTTTTTCTTCAGCATTTATTTCTGACCCCTTTGGGTTATTGAAGTATCGACCTCACTCCATCTTGACATTTTACAGTGAACACCGTGTTGTGAATCATATCAAGTGTGAGTTGTGGTAGTGAATATTGTGGGTAGGTGGGTGGGTGTCAATGTCTGTAAGAGTATGACCCACCATTGTCAATTCTTTGTTGTGAATTTTCTTTTGCATCTGCACTTGCACAGTGCTCCTCAAGGAGGATTAGAAAAGGGTAGGTTAAAAATGAGATACCAATAATAGTTTCCTGTTCTTGTAAATCCATTATAACTGCACAACAGGCTCAGTGCTCTAGAAAGATCAGGGCATACAACTAACAGAGAGTAGAGAAGGACAGCGCTGTGAATCAGAAAACATTACTTTTAAAATTATTAGGAACACTAGAAAGTAGATATTTTTTCCTTTGTCACTGATGAATTGCAAGTCTATTTCTTTTAGAGTTTTTTTTGTCTTTTAGTCATAAAATTCATTCAGACCCTACCAACATACATTATGCAATTTCAACGTATGTACAATGCACTTCTCCGTGTTTTCTCTTCGCCTTCTTAATACATCCGGCAGTCATTACACACTGCTTTAGATTCTCTACCTTGCTTTTAAATGGAATTCCTAATTGAAATTATTCATTCAAATTATTCATAATTTATTCAGCAAAAACTGCCTCTAAAAGTGTTCCAGTCACTATAAAGAGATACACGTAGAGACTGATTTTTACATTTTAGATAGGGCACCCCATTGGTTCAGAAAGTAATTAACAAATTCTTCATTCATCTATCCTTCTCTTCCACTGGCCTATCTCACCCCAGCTCCTGTTACGAGGCAGAGCAATATCTGATGTTGACAAATAACACAGTGAACCAAGATCATTTACTACTTCTCCTTCGTTTTCCCAATGTTGCTTAATTAAGGGTCTCTCTAAGTTGGTAACAGTTTCTTTGACACAGTGTGTCCTTTAGCCATTGCTCAAAGATTTCTTAGAGTAGCTTTGCTACTTTTATATCTGTTTCATGTGCTCTTAGCAGTAAAGATAACTGGCAGCAACACAGCTGTACTATCTAACTCATTGTTACCCAGCCTTGCTATTCTGCCCTAAAGCAAGGCAATTAACCCTGCCAGAGGTAGTAAGATAGCTCTGGCTGCTCATTGTTAAAAAAAGCATCCACAAGTACAAAAGAGTGTGTAGAGTTAATTAAACTTTTTCGTTGGCAATAGAGGTGTAATAAATATCTGATTTCAATCAGGCATTCAGGTCAAGTGTCTACAATAGGGCTGCAAAGATACAAACATCCACTGGATGCCTCCTCACAATTTGATCACCGTTTCAGTGAGACTTTCCTGGTAAAGAGCTGAATTTAGCCTTTTCTTTTCTATTTTATGTCCAAAATGTTTTAGTCATACTTAAAACTGAGTGATCTAACATTCTTGCTGCATATCATTGCACCTTCCCCTGATTTTTTCATTTGTTTCCATTTGGTTCAGGGCCAATGTGGTTATAAGATGCACCGGCCATTTTCAAGGCTTGTACGTGAGATGAGATTTAAGGACACAGTTTTTCTTTAGCCATACAACATCAGCATCCAAGATTGGAAATTTGATAAAAGAATGAACACTGAAAGATAAAAAATACTGTGTGCCTGTTGTAAACATAGATTGATATCTTGAAGTTCAAGCTATCTTGAGGTTTAGATATGTTTCCGCTGAAAAGTGAAAGCAATGATGTTGCAAAAGTGAAAAAAAATATTGCTATGATACATTGAGGACAGGATAGCAGCACAAAACATAAAAGTGAGTGACCAATATAAACTACGTTAATATCTAATATGAATCCTTTTTTTGATGATTTATAGTAAATTCAAACATAATGAATAAAGCAGATTATTAGTATGTACCATATCAAATCATTGACTGAGACATGAATCAAACTGTGACAAATGATTGCATGATTCACTGTATCTATCAGTGTAATTTATCTTGGACCATAGGCAGCCCTGAGAGAGAAACTGAGCGGGCACGACTGAGCACGCCCCCATAGCCAAATGATCACAGGCAAATGTGTCCTTGGTGGAGGCTTCTGTTGCCCATCCCAAAGAGCTGGTGCAGCCATGGTGAAGATACAGAGCGAGAGACAGAGAGGGAGGGAGGGAGATGAATGTCACCCTTGCTCTCATATGTCATATTGTTAGCCATAGATATGAGGAGAACGCCTGAAGGTTGAACGTGCAGCTGAGACATGAATAATCTATCAGAGGTTTCCTCCAACTAAATAGAGGGAAATGTGTCTGGATGGATTATTTATGCTTTAATATGCACACGGTGAATGGACAATCACCTCTGAGAGCACGAAGACATTGTAGGGGCCAAGTGAATTGTGTATGTCTGTAATGCATGCGTGTGAGTGTGTGAAAGGTAGTGGTTGGCCAGCTGTTCAGCCTGGTTACACGTAGGGTCTATATTTTGTGACTCTGTGATGGATTACAGTAATAGTGTGTTCTGGTTGGAAAGTGTATTCAGGTTTGTATTATGTATGTACAAGCTTTCGACCATATCATCGATCTCTCGTGCTGTGACATGTTGTTTATATTTTCTTACTCTAATCTCAAATCACTCTTGCACAAACACAGGCACACACACACACACACACACACACACACACACACAGACACACACACATACACAAATGCTTCTTGGTGCATGCAGATGCATTCGCTCACCCCCACACTATTTAAATGTAGTCCATCTCAAACTGGTCTGGCCTCGGCTTTCTAGCTCACCTTATTTCCTCTTCAGATGACTGCCTCGACATGGGAAATGTCAGGCTCTCTTTGCCAGCGCTGTTTGGCTTCTTCAAACATTTGTGAAGTGTTAAGCTCATCTCTACAGCTTAGGAGGGCAGTCTCTCAGGAATCAAGGCTGCTGACCCGCAACACAGCAAAGACAGCCTGGCCAAGTGCACTCAAGCACATCCACTCTGCCCGCTCATTTGCATCAATGAAAGATTGTATTAGTCCCAAGTTTGTGGTCTTTAAAGCAGCACTCTCGGCTTGCTGTAAAGGTGCATGCATCACATAATGGAATTGATGGAGTGGCGTTACAGCTCCTAACAGTAATGTTGTCTTCTCACATTTAGTTGAGAATAACAGCGGAGAAGCTGTACAGCTCTGAGTAGCCTCATTCTGGCTCCTTTTAAATGTTATAAACACAGCCTAAGAGGACACGTAAATCCCTGTGTTAACATATCCCTTAGAGTATCACCTATCACTGACTTTGGTTTCAGACACAACAAACTTGTTAAAGGACGGTAGATTTCACTGATTTAAATGTCATTTTGGTCCAAAACTTAATGCATGAGGGCAAGGATTGATCAGGAGGAATCAAGGTTTAAACCATTAACATTCAGCAGGGGAGGTGAAGGGTGACAAGAAGCTGTTTTCAGTTAATTATAAAAGCAAAGAATTGTTAAATCTATGACTGTATTCTAGTTCAAATATAGGCTCTCTGTCACTTGTGCTTCTGACACTTTCATTGGGCTATACAAACATTAACAATGCAAAAATTAAGCTCCTATGAATAAACTCCCATGAATAGGATTCCTCTTAACAAAGAAAGCTGCCTCAGTTCTGTTGCAGTTTGTTTTGTACCAAACAGTGTATTTTAGCACACAAGGAAGTGTTGCATTACTATAAGAAATTATAAGTGTGGTGTTTGTCTGCAGTGTTTGGCTCCACAAACGGGCAGGGATGCATTGCATATCTCAAAACCAATATGCAAATTGACCCGAGCTGCTACATTTGTTTAGAAGCCTCAGCAAGCAACCTTTGGATTCTGCCGGAGAGCAGTGTTGAATGCTAGGGTATTTTTGCATTCTTGGGTTTGTCTAACTTGTACATTGTAAAATTTACACTTTTTTAACTAATGGAATGATTGATGGAGGCCTGTCAAGGCAGCAAACAGAGAAGCATGTGCAAATTGTCTGTTTGTACACGCTGCGGCAGAACCAAACATGATACACAATAAGCATTTTAATATCTTTTCATAAAAAAATTTTGTAACTGACCACTTGGAGTCTGATTTGTGGATGAGGATGAGAAACGATAGGAAAGGAACTAGATGTACTTGTATTTCATTCCTATAGTATTAGTTAGGAGTTAGGATACTGTCTGTCTGTGTGTCTTCTCTTGGTTTCATCCCACCCGGCCAATGGAAAAATTCCATTTATGGGACAACAGATGCTCCAATTTTTTTCTCTCTCTCTGTTTTTTCACTTCACGCCCAAGAGGAGAAAAAAAAGTGCTCATCTTTTATTTTATTAATTTTTTTTTAACCAAGTTCTGGATCTGTTTGACACAGGCATGAACACTCCCATAATCAGCCAGTGTGCATCCTTCTGAATAGAGATGAAAGAGGAGAACACACACTCACACTTATACACACATGCGTGCACACACAACAAGGAGCCCACAAATAAACAGGCACAAACACACGAGGAAGAAGCACGAGCCATTTGGCATAGTCGCTCTGTCTAGGGAGGGCTTCAAAGCCCACTGACATGAATTTATGATAACGGCACTATGCCTTTGCCAAACCTCAACTGTTGTTGTTTTTCTCTCGCTCCCTCCCCATCCCTTCTGTATGCTCTGCCATCCCCTTGATCAGAGCTTTGGAAAATGCTAGCAGGTGTCCCCCAGTCCCTTGGAAAGGTGTGTGTGCATGCGTGCGCATGTGCATACATTTACAGTGTTTGGAATGGGACATCCTTAGCTGGCTCTTCCTTTTTTTACATGATTTGATTAGGCTTGGCTCTGCTTCCCCAACTTTGGGCTCCAACTGTTTGTGCAGGTCGGTTTTATAATAGTGCTATGATTCTATTACCCTCTCCCTGTGTGGTTTAATTCTATTCTATGCACACTACTGACATAAATACCACTTTCTTCTCCATCCATCCCCTCCCTTTGTTTCTCTCTGCAGATGAGGATTGTGTGAATTGTACGGAGGAGTGCCGAGTACTGGGTCATTCTGACCGCTGCTGGATGCCCCAGTTCCCTGCTGGAGGAAACCAGGCAGAGGGTGTCGATTACCGCAACAATATGTTTGTTCCAGCGGGGATGGAGACTGTGCCCGAGATGGAGACCTACGAGACTGTCAACCCCAATGGCAAGAAGACGTTCTGTACTTTTGGAAAAGAGAGGCGTGACCACACCATCCTGGTTGCCAATGTTAAGCCCTACTTGAAGGCGAAACGTGCCCTCAGTCCACTGCTCCAAGAGGTACCCTCAGCTTCCAGCAGTCCTACCAAGGGCTGCTCCACCATGTCTCCCTGCTCCTCAGTCAAAAGCCCAGCTGATGGGGCTGAAGGCAAACCTCCTCCTGCCACCTGCTCCGGCCACTACGGACCTCCTGATGGTCAGTACCTGTCACCAACCAAACAAACCAGAGACCAGGGGGTCTACCCACCCTTGCCTCCCTCAGACCCAGTGGCCAAGGTGCTCGCAGAGGCCCGCTCCAGGATCAGCCAAGAGGCAACTGGTGAAATGGAGTGTGTCCTTGAGCAGGTGGAGCCCGACGCGAACCGTGACAGAATGGACGCTGACCAGGTGGTGAGAGACATCGACAAATTATTGCAGGACTGCAGAGGAAGTGAGGCCACGGGCACACTCAGGAAGTGACACGAAGGACTGCAACAAAAAGAAGTATGAAGGTAGAGAGAGGAATAGAATGCTGTTCCAAAAACTCTCACACCAAAACTGTCACCAAAACAAATCAAAAAGGTTAAATGGCTCTTTTGATAGGAGCTATTTTCACTGTATTTGTTGTTGAAAAGTACTGACACTGGACGGACAATGGGAGCATTTAATATTTGGCACCAATTTTGGTGCTAAGATCCCTACCATCAAAAAGGAACTGGGTAACAGACATCTGAATTCTGCTGAATTTATAAACTCTTTTTGTTTTGGATTCTTAAGCAAATTGCAGAGGCTTATGCCTCTGGCACCTCGCAAGCTATTATCTAAGTGCCCACCAGCTCATAAGTGTGTTGTTCATGGTCTCTCGTGAAATCCTACATATCTAAGTGTGTGTAGGTGGATTTCTGTTATGTGTGATGGCCATAGAGACTGAATGGAAAAGGACTATTTATGGTCAGACACGACAATCGATGTGGAAGCAGAGAAACAAATTTTAATCTATTTGGGACAGTGACAGATTGAAATACACAAAACAACCTTATCTTTTCTGACTTTAATATAGGTGTTTAATGTGTGATGGATCCTGTATCTGAACATGAAGAGATTGGTTAATCAGGGGTGTTCGCAGGTGTTGGTTATGGACTTGGGGTTGGAGGGCTTAAATGCTACGCTGAAGGAGAATTATTAACAGTGTAACCATGTTTCACCTGTCATTTGTAGCCACATGTGTAAGTTGTGTCTGTCTCACGCCTCTATTTAAACATTCATGTTGCTGGCCAGTGTAGTCGCACGCACCAATTTTACACATGTGCACTACACTTTGCACATACACATGCTGACACACTCACATGCACTGATGCTCCTACACACATGCAAACACACACAAACACACTTATGCTTACACACAACTGGCCATCTGTGTAATTGTCTTATACATGAACATCATCAGCTTTCAGTCCCTTGTGTACAGTGAATTATCATGTGCGTGACTATGCCTTAAGGCAATCACAAGTTGTATAAAAAGGGACATTTTTCCTCAACTGTGAAAAGATGATATCTATATGATTATATAGATGATTATATGTATGAATCCATGTATAGTGTCCAAATATTAACAAAATATTTATACATTTTATAAGAAAAAAAGAAATGAGGAATCTCAGTAAAAAAGTGTCCTCGAGTTATGGTCAAAAGCGGGGTATTAACTCAAAGAACTGCAAAGGACACTGCCATTGTTTTTCGAAAACAAATATCCAAAAATATAAACAAACAAGAAAATGTCCCTTCACATTATCACTATACATAATATCATTATATGTGTAAGTGTATCCAATTTAGATGTGTTTACATCAAAAAATTGACATATTTTTATTGATTTTACTGCAATTTCTGTGCATTTGAGCCAAATTGTTATGTGTACAAAAGCTATATTGTGTATTTTATTAAATTAATATATAGTTGTGTTGCAATATACATGGGCTTATATTGTATTTGGCAAAAGTTGCCTTAGTAGCTGTCGAACTCTGTGAGTTTGCTTTAGTTTGGGTTTTTGTTGGTGTTTTTTTTTCCTCTCTATTCTGCATCTTTGCAGGCTGGCTTCAGTGCTTTTGAGATGTCGCCTCTTTTTACCCTGAGATCCAGCTGGATCAAATACAATAACTGTTGAAAGCTTAATGAGCCAGCTGATCTAGAATACAATTCAAACCAACAACAAAAAGCAACAACCACAAGATAACAGTTTGAATATTTTTACTGAGCAGATTTTTACAGGGCAGCTATTTTCTTTAACAATGACTAGTATGCGTATCTTGTGTTCATTATGTTTTTACTTTCTTTCCAAAAAAGAAACCTGCCATATGGAAAGTGGAGTGGTTTCCTTGGTGATCATAAAACTGCCTTACTGTCTCTGCGGAGAGCTTATTGTATCTGTGGAGCTTGTGACTGCTTATAAAGCCCTGGTCCACCAGAATGTGCATTTTCTATAAAGGACCAAAAGAGGTTCTTTTTCAGCAGTCTGTGTTGTTTATGTATGTACTCCTTCTCTATACATGTTAGAATTCTCATACTTTGCAGAGAAACTTGACATCTGAAATTCTATCTGAAGTTACTTTGGATTTGATGTCTTAGCTGTTTAGGTACACGGTTTATATAACCAAGTGTCTTCACATTCAGGCTTTCTTAAAAAAAGAATGATACAGACATTTATTTTTGAAAATTTTGGCACATTTCGGCCACTCTCTGAAATAAGAATGGGAGGTGCTTTTTCTAATATTCTCTGACAGTAAAATAAGCAGAACAGTAGGCTATTAGACTAGATGTGTTCTGGAAAATACTACCACAATCACCAAATCTATGTAAGATGCAGCCATGAGAGGGAACAGTGACTTACATTCATATGGCTCCAGGTTGTTTAATATAAAATGTATCCGAGCTGAGTTGGAATCTTGACAGCAGATATAACGCATCCTACAGACATGTCACATCTGAGTGTTTTGGTATTTCTGTTCTTGTTTCTTTTTCTTAATCGAGGTACATGTTTGGACATTCTCCTGTCATTCTGCCATTCTGCTGTATCTTTTGCCTGCTTGATATCTTTTTTTATTTCACTATTCATTTGCTTACTTTTCTCTTCCTCAGCTGTTTGCTTTCTCGCCTCTGAGGAGCGAAGTAACTGTTAGCTTTTCTCCCCTCTTTCGTCTGTAAAGTATTTGGTTACGGTTTACCCTTGCTCTTTTCCTGGGAGATGGCAGAGGCTGTTTTTAGAGAGAGCTTGGAAGATTTGATGCAGGTGGAAAATATTTATGGTTATTTTTAAATGATACTTTTTGTCATCTCTCACAAATATCTGGATAAATCAAGCAAGCCTGACATTCACATCATACAAACAGCACAAACAGTTAAAATGCTGTTCAAAGTGCACTCTGCAACTGTGATCCTAACAAAAATGCTGTTTTTCACACACCCAGACACACACAAACACACACAAACACCCAGGCACTTCAGCAGCACACTGCCTTTCATTTAAATGCGTAGTCCCTTAAAGGTAAAGGGGAGGCTGAAAGAGGGGGCAAAACACTACCCAGACAAATGTGTCACTTCCACACTTGTCTTCATGCTTTATTTTCTTTTTATCTCATTGTGCTCAGTCTTCATGCTGGATCAAGCAGTTTGTACTAGCAGTGTGTGTGTGTGTGTGTGTGTGTGTGTGTGTGTGTGTGTGCGTGTATGTGTGTGCATGTCCTTGATTCGCTTTCACGCCCTCATTGTTTGACAAAACAATTCCTTTCTTCTAATTTAATTTATGTTACCTGTGTACTATAGATTTAATTCCAACTCACATTAAACCTCTATTGCTGTGGTCTCTCTTTACTTTGGGCATTAATTAAAACAAAGTGCAGAGGTCACCCCAGGATTCTTTTTCTCAGTTTGGCTGCCACAAACAGTCAGTGTCACAGTTCAGGCACACTTAAAGTGCTGTCCCCTCTAATGGTGTTGCCCTGGTCTAGCCACTTTATGTACACTCTCATACTGTGGGCAGGAAATGAGCTGGGTCCAGTGGATGGAAGGTACTCTTTTAAAGCCATGCCCCCTCTCTCAGGCTATTTGCTGTCTAATAGAGCTGAGGCTGCTGCTGCTGAGGTCAACACAGTTGGAGATTGAGCATAATGTAAGGCCTCTCATTATTGTCTAATTATACACTGTTGGCATCATACACTGTTGGCAGTGCATTATTCAAATCTAGAGTGGGTTATTTTGCCCACTTGAGATTGTTGGTTTTACCAAGTGATTAGGACAGGGTCTTGTTGAATGTGGCTAACCGCCTCTGGTCTCTGACTCACACTGACGCAGGTGCACACAGACTCAAGACAACCACTGCTTCACACACATAGAGACAACATGCCATTTTGGTTAGTTAAAACAAGCACCCAATGTTTGTCAGTGTCGTCCCCTCACCCCCAAGCCCACACTGATAGCATAGGGCTCCACGCTACAATGGGCAACTGGTGAAAAGACCAGAGACATTCATTTGTATGGATTATTTCAACTGCTATTGTCTAAAAGCTGTGTTCATTGTGATCTATCTGAAAAAAAAAGATGAAAAGATCAAATAAAAAAGCAATTACTAATAATGTTTGCACTTGTCCTTGTATGAGTTGGTTGAGGAATGGATAGTCATGGCTTTGATTTAATTTCTTTTCTCCCAAGGGATAACACCGCACACCCAATATTTTTGCTCTGCTCCTTCGAGTATCTTTGTGGCCAATTTTGCCTTTTCAAATAGGATTGCACTGTTTACTTTCAAAGTGCCAGCTTATTTTAGCAAATATAAAAATTTGCTTTTTCAATCGTATTCTTTGGATGTAAATGCACATACGTATGCATGCACCCCGTACTCAAGCATACACACACACATACACTGACTTAGAATTTTGCTTTGGGCAAGTGATTCTTCATTCATTACATTAGTTCACAGAAGATTACTGCTCATGCTCTGTTTTTTTTTTTTCTAATTGCTCAGAGGCAAATAAATTGGTGCTTGAAATTGTGTGCACTAATGCTTCTCAGATAAGACGTTGCACTCCACCCTAGATTCGCATTCAGAGGCCAATTTGAAGTATTTTCAACACTGGCCTGTGGTTAGAGAAATATACTGAATGCTTCCCATTTGTTCAGTCAAATCTGGTTTGCCTAATTCGTAATTAATGGCTATTAGGTGTTCGATGCTCAGAGAGGAACATGCAGTGGCAGATGTGACCTCCCTCATGGTGTTTATTTCCCCAAGAAGAATAGTAAACAAACTGTTTAGAGCTGACTGGTGCTTAAAGTATTAGTGCTTTGGAATGGCTTTTTAATGTCCTTTTTCAGTGTTTTTCAATACAAAATGACAGAGCATGCAAGCTAATGATACACCATTACATTTTCTCAGGAAATTATTCCATCATCACTGTTTAATTGTAGAAGTACATATGGTTGCATGCTTTTGTGTCTGCACGCATCGGCATACTGCTGTCTAAGGATTAAAGTTAGTAATTTCCCAAACTGTAGTCCTTCAAATTGCTCATTCAGGACCATCACATGCTAATTGCACAAAAACTTCCCATAACCTGACAGTGAATTTTTTCTTGGCACCGACGAGATTAAATATTTTGAATTTCTTTTTTGATTCAAGTATAAAACTAAAATAATTTGATGGATAACTCATGTCTGTAGTGTTTGTAATCTCAAGATCCATCTTAATACACAACATTTACTGGGATGGGAATATTAGTGCTTTATGTGTACAAAAATTCTGTGCCAAAGAGAACTCATTCAAATATATCAAGATTAATTATTTGTGGAATTAATTATTATTTGAAGAGGACTCGATCAAATTAATTTTCATTTTGACCACAGAGAGGGAGTGATTTACCCCATACTGGATTTTCGGACCATTGGTATGCACCAAGGTTTTTTTCTGTTTGTATCTAACTAGTCGCCTGAAGGCAGATATTAATTAAAAAGATAGCAGAGGTACTTTCTTAAAAACACCACCTCTAGGACTGCAGTGCCTACATGCAGCGCTGTCTCATTTGGCCCAGTAGAGCTATCTTTAAACCTACCCCATAGCTCCAAAAAATATCAGCCTCTCCTCTTGTATGTGCCTATCACGTTCAACCATAGTCTCTCAGAACTTTACAGATCTCACAAACTGTCAAAAATGTGAACCATCAATGATATGGCAGACCATGGGGTAGAAAAAGTGCAGCAGTAAGTACACAAATTGTGACAAAACCTGAGAAACTGTTTTTTTTTTATATGTCTGACAATACATTGCATGCATCATCAGCAACAGATGCATGCATTAGAAACAAATGTGATAATGTACATGATTTGTTTCATTTGTTACTTTAATACATAGAGCAAGATCATTTCCATACAGATTTGGTGTATAATATAATATCTAATATTCATTTAGTTGTTTAGTCTCAGCCAAATTGAGTTAGAGATTTCAGAGGAACACTAGATAGGAAAATCATATTTCTGCATTTTAATCAAGGTCCTTGATCCAAATAACTGTGCTAATGGGATTTAATCAAGTACTGTTCTGTATTGAGCTGGCTAAAAGGGCAAATGAAGAGAAGATCTTTTCAACATGAAGAAGAGAAGGTATTCATCATATATGAGTTAAAGAACAAGGTTTCTCCTTTTATTTGTGGCAGTGTTTGAGAAGGAAGGCAAATTGAAAAACACACGTGTGTAAGAAGGTAGAGTGTGTATGGTTGTGTAAATGAGAGGCTGGAAATATCAATGTACGTCTCACAACAGCAACAGTAATGTGCAGTGTCTTTGATTTGATGTCACTGACCGAAACACAGTAGGTATCTATGGCTACAGTGCCTCAGTGGGTGTTTAAGACAATCACTTTTCAGAAATTATGGCACACGCAATCATGGAAAACAACGTCAAATGCCTAAATAACAATGTATGGTACTGAATGAATGTGCCACGGTGATAAGAGTTTTTGTGACACACTTATGTAAATGTGCACCCAGACTCTTCGTTGTCTGAAATACAGCCATCCTTCAGCCTGTATTAAGTAGAAAAGGTTTTTATGACCTCAAAAGAATACAAATCTATATAAAATGACAACTTTTATTACAAAAACCTGGTGCGTGAATATAGTATGAAGACACAAACACAGCAAGAAACTTTTACAAACTGCACCAAACACCTCAGACTGCTGGGTCTATTTCACATTCAAACCCTCCCTCCCCAGTCCCCTCGAAGTAAAGCAGTATATTAAGCGTTCAAGTGTTTTTCACTTGAAGCAGAATAGAAAGCAGCAGAATAATGGCTCTAGACAGCTTCTGTGAAGGGGCCAGCTCACATCAGTGAGGGAAAATGCTAGATGAAAAGGTCAATAAGCAACACGGGAAACTTAATATGAAGTAGACATATGAATTCCATCACATGGATTAGTGCCCCTGGCAAAGTGCAGGACTGACTGACACTGCTGAATCAATTCAGAAATATCCAATGTCTGGTGTGTAAGACACTCAAGAGCTAAGAGGACCTTTTACTAAATGCCACCTGGACTTTTAAACCAATTCTATTTAAATCTATTTTCTTTCCTGTTGCTGGTAAATTTTTCACTTTTGGTGTTTCTAGACAAATCGGATACAATCTCTGAGATTATTGCCATTGTAGTGTTTCATTGAGGTCATGTCCTTAGATGTTCAAGGCTAGAGTCCTATTTTTCTTTAATTGTATTATTATTATTATTATTATTATTATTATTATTATTACCTGGTTTATTACCTAATTCTATGGCTCCTTAATTATTTAGCTTCACATAAACAGGCGAACACAATGTTGATTAAATGTTAGGAAGACACTAAAGACCATGTTGAGCACCTACAGTGCATTATTGCTTGTAATTTATAAAGCTGTGGGCATGAAAATTTCCATTTGTTTCCCAAGGATCAGTTACTTTAATGGTCAGTACTCAAGTTATTTTATTGTTAGACTTTGATAACGTTCACAGAGGCCATCACAGAGAGGATGTGTTGGATGAAAGAGAAGATAGATACCTTAATGGCTGTGCAATAACAACAGGATGTGATTTGGACAGAATGTCAGGAGGGAACAGGAAGGTCAATATTACAGTAACAGAATATGACCTTGGGGACAAACATCTTACTATTGAAGCTGTTCTCCTTTGGCAGAGCTGCAACATTGATCCTTTGCACTTATATCAATTAGCTATGCCATCATTAAGTGAGCTTTACCACAATGTCATTTTGACAACTTTCTTTGGGATATATCCCAAGCTGCCAATTCTGTCTACTCTATATTTAAACCTTCTTTGGGAGGCTCGTGGAAATGATCTTTGCAAAATAAATAATGTGTTCAGATTATAGCTAAAAGCAAAGTTATAAAGCTTTGCATTACATAATCTCTTTTTTCCTCTAGGAGAAGAGTTATAATCCAGTCTGAGGTCAATGTTGCCCAAGAAACAGAATATTTACAGTGAACGTGTACAGTGCTGTGTTACATTTCACCCATATAAGTATGCATGCATAAATATAAACACAGACACACATACCTACACACACACACACACACACACACACACACACACACACACACACACACACACACACACACATATCCTCCCCACTCCCTGTGCTGCAATTACTTTTGCGGCATGTGAAATTAGCCTGGCAAGTAATTAAATTGTAATTACCTTACTAGATTGTGACTGTTATCTTTATCTGATATAATGACTTTCTTTGTTAAAATAAGAATATAAAAGAAATTTCCAAGCAAGTATGTGGTTCACTATGTGGTAGAGAAATACATACCTGTGTGACAGAGATCCATAGATTCTAACATGGATCTAAATTTGTTGATTATTTTTAGTTCTATTATTTACAAAATTAAGTAAAAACAGCAAGATGTGGTGTCAATAAACTTTAATATTTTTATTAATGTAGTTACAAATTTAGTGATATTTTTCTAATCATAAAGTGTTTCTTATATTCGATGACTTTTTACACCTAATAAACCATTTAAAATGAACTAATAAATGCATTTTTTAGGGGGCAAAGTTGAGACATTTTCTCTATTTGTCAGTCAACTGTAGTGAAGTTATTGCAGCTCACCGAGAGTCTACTTAGTTAGAAGAATGCTTCTATCAGTACAGTACTTCACTTTGATGGCTGAGGACTTTGGCCTTGAGAATCTATTGACCAAAATGAACATCTTTAAGACAATTGTCTGTTGGCACCTTTTCAAATACTCTTGGTCAAACCAAACTTTTGCATGGTATGGTAGGCCCTACGTACAAGAACGGCAACTGGCAACTTTTAGTCGGATCAAAGCCTTCCTCCCTTTGTTTTCAAAGTTTATGTATCTCTAGTATGAACACAGCAGTGGGTATCATGCAGGGACGTCGGCCCCTTTCTGAACTCAGAGACAAGGCTGACAAAGACGATTAAAGCCTCTGACAGCATGCCTGCATGTGATTAGACCGTCCTTCAGAGCTTTGAACCACCACCCCCAACCCCAACTATTCCCCAACTTATACACTGAAACACTAACAAAAAAGCAACACGCAGTCCACATCAATGAGGAGTGAGGAATGGAA